CCACCTTCATTTTTCTTTTGAGGATCCATTTACATTCTAATGCCTTGCAACCAGGAGCTAAATCAGACAATACCCAAGTATTGTTATGCATGATAGAATCAATTTCATCCTGAATTGCCTCTTTCCAAAAATGAACATCCCTAGAAGTCATAGCTTCACTGAAAGTCTTTGGATCCTCCTCAATATTAAAACAATATTGATGTTGAGACACCGTCTCATCCCTTGTTCCTTCAACTGAATATAGTTGAAAATCATATCCAAAAGATTTAGTTTTTCTAGCTCTAGTACTCTTTCTAAGTTCATGCACAGGACTTGTACCACCAGAAGCATCTTCAACTTGAGTTGTGTTATTGCTGAAAGATTGTTGAATCATGTCCCTTGGTCTAGGTATAGATGTAAATATATTTTCGTCAAAGATAGCATATCTTGACTCTATAACAGTGTTCACAGACATAGAGTCATTATATTCTAAAACCTAGAATCTATAAACGTTGGAATGCTAAGCATATCCAATAAAGATACAATCTATACCTATTTTCACCCAATGTTTTCCTTTTGGGTTCAGTGAGCCTCACAACCCCAAACTTTGAGATAACTCAAATTTGGTACCTTTTTACACCAAAGTTCGTAGGGAGTATTCTTACTCCTTTTGTTTGGAGTTCTATTCAAAATATAACATGCAGTTAATATAGCCTCACCCCAGAAACCTTCAATTAAACCCGAATAGGACAACATGGAATTAACCATTTCTTTTAAAGTCCTATTTTTCCTTTCAGCTACACCATTTTGTTGTGGTGTATAAGGAGTCGTGGTTTGATGTATTATTCCAGTTGATTCAAAATAAACCGGATCATAATACTCACCACCTCTATCAGTACGTAAAACTTTTATTAATTCATTTTTATGAAGTTCAACCTATTGTTTATAAATCTAAAATTTATCAAGAGCTTCATCTTTGGAACGTAGCAAATAGACATAACAATATCTAGATACATCATCAATAAAAGCAACAACATACTTTTTGTTTCCAAGGGAAGGTGTTGCATGGATATCACATAAATCACTATGTATAAGTTCCAACACCTTGCCTTCCCTAACTACATCTTTGAAAGGTTGTCTTGTGATTTTAGTTATCATGCATGTTTTACATTTTTATTGTTTGTATCAAAAACATGAATTAAACTCATTTTTAACATGTCTTTTAATCTCTTGTAATGAATGTGTCCTAGTCTAGCATGCCATAAATCAGATTTATTAAAGTTATTGCTAGTACTAGAAGAAGCCATGCAAATAGAATTATCATAACTAGGATAATTAATATTAAGCCTAATCATTCCATTACATACATATCTGAAACCCATAAAAGAACCATGTCTTGACAAGATATACTTGTCACTTTCTAATACTTGTTTGTAACCACAATTATTTAAATAATTTCAGACACAAGATTCTTTCGAATCCCCAGTACATATAAAACATTGTTCAGACACAAACACTTTCCAGAAGTAAAGTAAAGTAAAATAGATCCTAAACCCTTGATTGGTTCAGTTGCAACATTTCCCATTTTCACCACAGACCCATCTGCAGTTGGTTGACATTCCTTGAACCAACGAAGATCTTTACATATATGGCTTGTTGCTCCCGAATCAACACATCATGCAACATCATCATCCTGTACATAAAATGCTTCAGAAATCACAGGAATATAATTCTGAACATATTTAGAATTCTGCATGAAAACATAAATCTGACCTTGTTGCTTTTCTGGATCCTTGGATCCACTTGGTCCTACACCATCCTTGTTCACTTTACGAAGACGACAATCTTTCTTGAAGTGACCCGATTTGTTACAATTCCAACAAACCAACTTAGTCTTCTTGTTGGAAGACTTGTCATCCTTTCCTTTAAACTTCCTTTTTCCATTAGATTTCTTGGGATTCTTTGAACTTTCTCCTTCCACCATGTTCACAGAAGAGGAACCAACTTGGTTCTTGCCTTTAGGATTGTTATCAAGTTCTTGAGTCCTTAAGGACTCTTCCATCCATAAATAGCTTCCAAGTTGAGTCAAAGTTAATTCCTCTTTGTTATGTTTCAGATTATGTTTAAAATCTTTCTAGAAAGGGGATAGTTTATCAATGATCACAACCACATAAATGGTTTCATCCATTTTCAGATTGTGTTGAGCAAACTGTCCCAGGATCCTTAACATTTCATTGAATTGTTCCATAACAGGCCTAGAGTCAGTCATCTTGTAACCCATAAAGTTACTTACAAGAAACGTCTTGCTTGAAGCATCTTCAGTCATGTACTTGGATCCAAGAGAATCCCACAGTTCTTTTGCAGTTTCAACATTTTGATAGATGTCAAACAGAGAATCAGACATACCATTGAGAATATGACCACGGAAGATGTAGTCATCATTATCCTACTTAGATCTCTTCATTGTTGCCTCCAAAGTTTCATCTTCAACAAATTATGGCATGGGTGTACTCAGAACATACACCACTTTCAGAGTAATAAGAAGAAAGTGCATCTTCTTCTGCCATCTACAAAAATCTTGTCCTTCAAACTTGTTCAATTTGTCAAACTTGCTTGTCATATCCTTCACAGATTACTTTGATTTTTGTTAGAATTTCGGGGTAATAAAGGCACTTGGATATTTTGAGAATTGTGATTCCTCTTTCAAATCAAAGTATTTGGGTGGTACTCCCTAATCTTTGATTGGATAAGACTCAAAAGAGATTCAGAACAGAGAATGAAATGTATCAATTTCGTGAGTACCAAAAAACTGACCAAAAATTGGTTAAATACCTCATTTGTATGAAAACTGTCATAAAACAGTTTTCCAACAGTAAAAATCTATCATAAATCCGGGTTTTCTATAAGGATTAATGCAAAGCCAAGAACGGGTCAAATATTCAAAATTTGGATTTCTGATACATTTTTAATACAAAATATAACCCGAATAAAAAATTTACGTGTTGATCTGGCAGCTCAACCCCAACCAGGGGCTCTGCCCCTTGGACCCCGCTCCTAGGGGCGCTGCCCCCGGACCCCCGTTCGTTCAGGGGCTTCGCCCCTAAATGACACTCTAGTTTTTATCTTGAATAAACTTAAACAAGTGTGCACTCCGTACCTTCCTTACTTGTTTAATATTCATCAAGATTGTTTTTGATTAACAAGTCAACTCATTACACTTAAATACAGTTAGTGAAACAAATCACCAACAGATTCTCCCATATATAGACATTTACCCAAGGCATTAATATTTTCAATTACACGTGTTTGAAGGAGTTGAAGGTTACTTTCATTCGTGAGCCATCTTTTACATCATTATACATCATTAAATTCTAAACTTGTTTCTTTTCTATTATTTTTTATTTATAGACCTTGAGAAGACAAATATACATATTAAAAAGATCACTAAAGGAAAAGAACGAGCACAACAAACTATTTAGAGAGTTAATATAGATTAGCGTCTCTATAGTAAAAGCCCACGTTAACATCGATGAATTGCAAGATGCCTGTAACGACGATTATAAAGAATCTTCAATGACCATGATTTTTCTTCTTCTGATGAGATCATCTAACATAATTAGCATCATAACTCTAATCCATAAATCCAAAAAAATATAGAAATATTAACTAAACTAGCTATTATGAACAAGGTAATTAACAAAAATAACCATATTTATCTCATTTTGTAAAAAAAAAATCGGTCCTAGACAATTAGGGTTGTTATTTGGTTCGGTTTAATCGATTTTTAGCATCTCTAAATTAATCATAACGAACCCAAATAAGAGTCGGTTTAATCAGTTCAGTTTCTTGTATATTTAAGGTGTAATTAATAGTATGAGATATGGTAAGTGACATAAAACTGACTTCTAGCTCTAAACCTAGAATCTATGTTTCCATAATTGACATATGTATGATAAAGACAAGTAAGCAATGTATGCATCATATTCACTACTGTGTTGAATTGCTGATGGAAATTGAGTCAATGAATGGGTTGCCGACTCAAAAAAGTAATGGGGCCCTAAATTAGAAAATTGATAAGGCCCGTTTTCATTTGTTTCATTGTTTGGTATGGACTATGGAGCGATGAACGTAATACAACCCACTTTGAGGAGCCCAATGACCATATTGTTTACCGTAAATGAGCCTTCAAGGTGAGCCTGAGCTCGAAATGTTTATGATAGTGTTTTCGGTAGTGACCATATTTATAATATGTTGATGTGTCTTGATTTTATTCAACATGTTTAATGACAAATTTATATAGATTTTAATAAAACAAACGTATAAACTCATTAAGCATAAGCTTACGTTTGCATGATGTTTATTCCATGTTTTAAGAAGGATGTTTTTAATGGTTAGTGGTGTGTGATTAAAGTTTATGTTCTTTATTATGCAAAAGGCTTTAATTATTTGACCTATTGTATTTTTTTTGGAAAGATTAACTGACACATATATTATTCTATTTTTAAAGTTTTACATTTAATCGAAAGCTTAAACTTTTAACCTTCAACTGAAAGACACATTTGCATCAATTCTTGATATACAAGTATTTGATATTTTTCTATTGTTAACTACGCAATTGAAGATAGCAACGATTCAATAAGATATGTATTTTATCCTCTTGTTTAATGTATTAGTAGACTAGTGGTAGCAGTGTATCAACTAGTGTCATAATAATGTCAATATTCCATGACTTGATTATAATTATATTTTCCGCTATAGTATTATATGTTTGTAAGCACCTAGATGTTTTAAATTAAGTATTTGAAATGTGTACATAAAACTTTTTGTGGTTTCTAACTTCAAAGAGACAAGGTACAACACTAATTTAGAGCCACATCAAATCATGATGATTTCAACCAACGTGTACGCAATTTTGGGGACAATGACACCCCAGCTGTGCAATAACCACACCATAAAATCAAGTAGTACAAGATATATGTATCAAAATAGAAAATCAGAATCGGCGGTCAAATAATGAAACCCACCCATTATTATTAAGACTATTATAATAAAAAAAAAGGAAAAAAAAAATCATTAAAAAATCGTAAGCTTTTCGTCACCATATATAGAGGAGAAAAAGCTATCTTCATTTAAGCACCACCTGATCCGTACTTCTTTCCAAGGACGAGCAGCTGCAATTTGTCATAACCAGAGAGCACACCAGCACCTGCAATGGCTCGGAGAATGTTGGCACCAGCACCCTTAAATAGAGACTTTGCGCCCTCGTTTTTCATGATCTGAGTCAATGCATCCATGGAACCCTTGTACTTGACTGCTTCACCAGATGTCATCATCATTCTTCTACGTACTGTGTCAATTGGATACGATGCAAGTCCAGCACCGTTTGTGATCACCCAACCCAGTGCAAAGCTAGCAAAGAAACTATCCTGAAAATGGAATTTTTTTTATTACAATATTGTATTTTTAATTATTTTCAAAAATTACACAACCATAACATTTGAGTTTCAATCTTTTTCTTAAGAACCGTATATTTTGAAAAATCCATCTAATAATAATAGCGAGTTGTAAAAAGTGTTTTATATTTGAATGATATTAGCTATTTTTGATAGATTTTTTATAATAAAAATGTTTTGATAAGAAGAAATAAAATTTGGATATTATAACAAAGTATCCTAAAAAAATACCAATAAAAACATGACCCACAATTGCAGATATTGCTATAGTTTGGTAAAAAAATTAAGTATAACGTTATAATATGGTAATAAACAAAAGTAGCATGATATTGCCTCCAATGTAACACCGTTGTTTCAAGGGTGCTACACTTTAAGAAATGGTCAAGGGCTCAGGTCTCGACGCTAACAACTCACAATGTGGGGTTGAGCTCCATTTGGCATGGGCACTGAGCTCTCATGCTAGCCATAACGTGTACATGATCCATATCTTACATGTCCAGGGTGATGTGGGCCAACTTATGGGTTACTGGTAAAATAACTTTTTTATAGAAAGTTATCGATGCTTATTAAAGCAGATACGAGATAGGTAAAACTATGTTGTTATTTCTTGAAATTAACCCAAAAGAAACCCTAGTTACCTGCAATTTTCCTGTGAGAATGACGGGCTTCAAAGAATCATACAACCCAAAGTACAAACCACGATAGACGATAATTCCAACACACGAAATAGTAAACCCTCGATAAAGCCCAGCAATACCATCGGTTGCTAATGTCTTCTTGTAGACATCAACCAAACCATTAAACTGCCTCCCTCCACCCTTCTTTTGCAGCCTTAGAGTCATTTGCCAAACGGGTTCTCGCATAATCAAGAGAATAAACAAAAAAGAGAGAAGAAGCACCGGCTGCACCTCCGGATGCCAAGTTACCCGCAAACCATTTCCAGTAGCCATCTCTATCTTTTCTGAAGTTGAAAAGCCTCTTAAAGTAATCTTTGAATGCAAAGTTCAATGCCTGGATTTTTTAAAACAATATTATCAATCACATCATATGGATTAGTAATCAATCATAAAAAATCTTTGTTAATTGTTAACCTGAGTTGGGAAATAACGAATGACATTAGCTGTGTTTCCTCTCCACAATGAAGCAAAACCTTCATCCTTGATTGTTCGACCAAAACAATCACCAATGCCTTTATATGGTTCAGACAACCTACCGGCCTTAATCATCTCATCTTGATTCTGAATCAAAAGCTTGACACGTTCGATTGGAGCTGCAGCAGTTTTTGATACGGCTGCAGAAAACTCCACCCATGAGGAAATCAATGGCGAATCCTGTAAAACCTTTTTCTGATGGGGCTTGAACGCAAATAGAAGATGATTTTGGGACAATAGGGAATTGCGTTCGCGGGTGCATGGGGTGCTGAAAGGCGGCATTTGTGTAGGTTTGGTTATGGAAATGCCTACGAAACATGTGTGGTTGCTGTAAACCATTCTCGCAAGCATGGAACTGTGACATGCTTGATCCTAGAAGACTCCCAGCTGCTAGCTTCTGGGAAACACTTGGATGATGTGCTTGATCAATCATGTCTACCCTAAAAAAGATTAATAGATCTCTTTAAATATCGGATTGAATAGTTATTAAAATGATTAATATACGTAACAAATAACCATTGTTAAGAATTATTAAACTATGAATACCATATCATACAGGCATATATAAATGCATGTATTAGCGTCAGACTTTGATTATTGAAAGAAATACGATTATTCTTTATAAATCAGTGACGAGTAAAAGAATGAAATGGATCAAATTGGTGAAATCAAGAAAGAATAACAACTATCGCAATCATTTACAGTAAAAATGAGTTTTCAAAAACTAATGAATTAAATTCAGACTTAATTGCAGGTAGGAAACGAAGGGCATGGTGATTTACCTAGTGATTATGATAACAAGTTTAGAGAGGATTCGAGAGAAAAGGTAAGAAAGAGTGAAGCGAAATACCCTTTTTAGAGATAGAGAGGAGGATCCGCGTTATGATGCGATTCCAGAAAGAGAGAGAAAGGCCTAGAAAATTTCAAGGAGGGTGAGAGGGTTAACGAAGATGGTAAATTATGGCTGATCGCTAAACCCGGGGGATTGAGGGATATTGACCCTCATGGGGCGACTCTTTCATTTTTTGCTAGAAAAGAATTTTTAAGATGATTCCACACTTTTTATTTATAAAAGTAACAAATTTCTTCTACCTGATTGCCATTATGGATTAATTCTCTTACAATTTTTTAACCTTTTCGTCCATATAACATCCGGAATGCATTGAATTTTATAGTTTAATGGATTTTCACATCATAAACTAAATACCATTTTAGTTTTATTTTTAACACCTGCAACTCATTAAACACATATTCAATTATAATCACCATTTTATGTTCTCTATTAAACCTCTATTGAAGAGTTGAATGACCATGCAACTTCATTCTATGTCACCCTAATGGCGGACCTAGCTAGTAACTAGGGGTAGCCTGTGCTACCCCTCAACATTTTTCAAGGTAGGGTAAAATTTATCCATAATTTTCTTTTTTATCCATGGGTGCAACCTCTGAAAAAAAAGAGTGCAACCCCTCGAATTGATCGTCCCTTCCATTGGTGCTCTCCACCTTGGAACCACCTCTTGTGATGCATCACTTGTGACGACACCATCTCCATGAGTCCTGTGATTCCTCATCTCCGACGCTCCTCACCTCATGTACAAAAAAAATGTGAAGTTCGAATATGAAATCGACGCTTTTCCCGTGACCTCGTTACGTGAAATCGACACTTACCTCCGGTATGTGAACTTTGAATCTTGTTGTATTGTAGTTCAATTTCTTGTTTCTTTTCCCAAGTTGGAAGCATATAGTGATGAAATGTCTCGCTTAAATGACTTAATTTTTACAAAATATTAGGTATAAATTCAGTCAATAATTGACTTCAGAAACGGTACTCAATTGTGGTATGTGACGATTTAATCCTTTTGTTTTATCTAGAGGGGTAAATTGATCAACATGGGTTATATGGTTCAAAAATATGTTTATTTGCTTACAATAAGAGCACATATGCTTCAAAAGAATTAAACTAGTCATTTATTACTCTTGCGTCTAAGGTGACTAACCCGTAGAATCTTTCAGATTGTAGACCTATAAACCTCATTGGGTGCATTAGTAAGATTATTTCCAATGTTTTCTCGGAAAGAATCAAAAGAATCATAGGCACGATTGTTAGTGACAATCAATCGACTTACATATGAGGTATAAACATTCTTGACGGTTCGTTAGTGGTTAACGAGGCGATCACTTGGGCGAAGAAGCGGAAGAGAAAGTTGTTCATCTTTAAAATTTAATTTGATATGGCCTTCGATAGTCTCATATGGTCTTTTTTGGATAACATGATGTGCCTTATGGGGTTTGGAGAAAAATGGAGATCTTGGATTTTTGGGTGCATATCCTCCACTAGGGATCTGTTCTTGTTAATGGAAACCCTACCAAGCAGTTTTCCATTCAAATAGGAGTCCGACAAGGTGACCCTCTTTCGTCATTCTTGTTTATTATCGTAGCAGAAGGTCTTAAAGTTGCTATTGACATGGCTATTGACAAAAGCATTTTCAAGGGGGTTACCCTTCATAATATCGACCGACTCTGTCGGTGCTTCAATATGCAGAAGATGCTATGTTTCTTGGGGAGTGATCCGAAGAAAATGATCTTAATCTCATCCGTATCTTGAGGTGCTTCCACCCTGCGTTAGGTCTTAGAGTCAACCTTGCCAAGAGAAAGGTCACGAGCATTGGCGTTCTTGATTCAGAGATCAACACTATGGCCAACTGGCTTAACTGTGGGGCTGACCATCTCCCATTTTCCTATCTAGGTGTACTGGCGGGTGATAATATGAACAAAACTTCTAGTTGGTATTCTCTTGTTTCCAAATACCAATCGAAACTCTCTAGTTGGAAAGCTCGTAATCTCTCTTTCGGTGGTAGATTAACTTTATGTAAGAGCATTCTTGGAAACCTCGACAACTACTTATTTTCCATCTTTAAAGCCCCTATTAAGGTTATCAACAAACTCGAAAGCATCCACAATAGGTTTTTTTTTGGGATGGGACTGATGATAACAAGAAAATCACATAAGTTACATGGAAGAAGGTTCTTAACATGAGGGATAGAGGGGGTCTTGGAATCGGAAGCCTCCATGCTTTAAACCTTGCCTTGCTTGGAAAGTGGTGGTGGCGCTTCAGGAATGATGATGACTCGCTTTGGAAAAACTACATTTTTCGCTATTCACGGATTGATGGAAGCCTTGGAAGCACTTGATCCATGACATTTAGAGGAGGAATTTGGGGAAAACTATCCATCTATACATACACCTTTCTCGTTTCAACGTCGAACTTGTTTTGTTGTTTTCTGTGCAAAACAATAGATGGAAATGGCAAAGACAAATACTCGGTTTCTTATTTCAGAGATACCATCGATGAAATATTTCTAGACAGAAACCCCACGAACACGATATGGAAAAGTATTGCTCCTGGTAAAGTCAACATCCTCTTTTGGTGTGCTTCTTTGAGACAGCTGCCAATACGTCTAAACTTGGAAAAAAGAGGGGTCGTTATGAGCAACAACCTCTGTCCCATATGCTTCTTGAGATCGAGTCGGAGGAACATCTATTCTTGTATTGTCCTTTGGTTGTAGAGGTGAGATCTATAATATGCAAGTGGTGGCCTGATATGCCAAACAGATGTATCTCCTTGGATAATTTCCTTGTTGCAAGTTCGAGTGGCATCAAAATCAATCAGGTGACCAATATTATTCTCATAGCTACGGTGTGGGTAATATGGAGCTATAGGAACAATCACATCTTCAACTCTATCACTAGAAGCAGTAAGGATATTGCTAGTGATGTTCAAATCTCAGTCTTCAATTGGTTAAAAATTATAGAAAAAAATTGGTGCTAACGTCAACTGGCAAAAGTGGTGTACTGACCTGAAAAGAGTTTGTATCAATTAGATGTAACTCTAGCTTCTCGCTAGCCTCTTATCAATAAATCTTTCGTCTTGCTGTTAAAAAAAAGACATGAAATGGAATGGAAGAACAATCAATGTATATTGATAAAATTGTCCGAATCCATTTTCATAGATGTTGCTTTTAAAGTCTTAAGTTAAAAATTCTTTTGTTACGGAACTTTATATCTGATGGTTTGTTGTAATCTAAAAATATTTACTATACATATGCCACGCTGCATAATCTGCCCATGTTTCTTTATTTTTATATGTTAGTTAACTAAAGTGTGAATAAGATCATGTATAAGAGGTATTTTTGGCAAGGAAAACAACAATTTGATTTTATAGACAAGTCAACTTGTTGATATGTATTTTGATATTTATTTAAAAGTCTTTAACGAGGGTTTGATTTGAAATATATATTTTTCTTTCGGTTTAAAGAGTTGTTTACAAGTGTTTTAGAAAAGTGGGTTTCCTATCATTTTATCATTTAATCCTTAGTAAATTCTCCTTTTGCTATTATTTACAACAACAGAAGATCAAAGTAGTTTTTGTATAAAACGTTGCATGATTTATTTTTTGGTGAAAATTAAATTACAAAGATAACCTTATGAAAACCACTCTAACATAAAGATATTGCACCTATTTCATTCTACACATAAGGATTAATCTTTGAACTTAGATGCTTTCTAAACTAGTTCCACTCTCTTCGAATATCTTATGCTACCCTTTCTACATCAAAGCTCCAAATAAGTATTGCCTTGTGAACCCTTTGCTGCAAATACCATTTTACCAGTCATGTTACTAAGACATGAACTTTTGGTATTTACATTATTATCCATGAAGCTACATTGCTTGTATAATCAGTAGCGAAGATTATCGAAGCAAAAAGTGTAAGAGGTCCATATTTAGGTCTTACGCGAAAAAAGTGCTACCCTTAAAATTTTCTTTTGGTTCTGCCACTGTGTCACTCATGCTACATTAAAAACTTATTCAATCATAGTCACTACCTTATTCAACTCCTATACAACTTGGATTGTGGATGTACTTAATCCTAACTTTTGTAACATTTTTTATCCCTAAAAGTGGATCCATTTTAATTTGAACCTTAACCCTTTGTAGAAGGGGTAAAAAATTATTCTACTTTTCATTTATATATTATTTTTATTAGTTATTTAGTTATTAACGGTCCCTTTATTCCTCTTTTGGAGAAACAATGTTGTTCGGTATTTACCTAAAGTTGTTTTCAATCCGGTCAAGATCTTGTAACACTCCATGCCTATCCAGTCAAAACAATATTATTTTATTGTCTCTTTTTCATCATCAAATCGTGAAAGGGATGATGAAATCCAAATATAAAACTAAAGGATATGATGAAACATGGTTCAAACACTGTATTTTTGTGTAGATCAAAAGATGCGTGCATATGTTTCCCAAAGTGTGTTCATGTGTTTCTTTTCATTATGAAGAAAATTTGAAGTTGTGTTTTTCTCGTCATTAATGAATTTGAAATTGAGAGGAGTAACCAAAAACCCAAAACTTCATGCGTGATACCAAAAGTTGAACACTATGCAAAAATTAAAGAATATGAACTTACGTTGTAGCAACTTCATTTTAGGGCAAACTAAATAAATAAATAAGAAATTAAATAATTAACTAAGTTAAAAAAAAATCAAAAATATTTTGTATGTTGGTTTGTGAAGTAAATTATACAATTAAATTGGAATAAATTGTTAGTTTGGCCAAAAATGAAAAAACTAAGGTTAAATTTGTAATTTTGGCAAAATTCTAGTATTTAACAAACACTTGATTAAATTAACCTTTTATGGACCATATGGGGAAAAACATTTTGAGAGAGGGTTAGTATGGTAAATTTAGGAAAAACTAGTAACTTAATCTCATTTAGTAGTTAAGGTGAAAAATAAAAGTTTAAAGGGTATTACTTGACAAATGACTTCTGCTATGTAGCAAGTCATCTTCTCCCCACTCTTATTTGTGCAAGTGGATATTTACAGATGTAAGAAATATGCTCAAGGAAGACCATCAACAGTTGCTCAACTATTGAACAAATTAATATTCAGTCCTTATACCTTTAATTAATTCTAATTATGTCCAAAATTAATTCAAATTAATTTTAACTAGTTTCTAATTAATTTATCAAACTATGATAAACTAACTATCTCATTCTCGTAAATCATTTTCTAGCTATTTTAGCTCTTGAGGGCAACCCTAAAAGGACCTTGTTATTATTCCCAAAGTTATACCAATTAGTTATGACATTGGACACCCATTTCCCACAATCTCTCATATGGAAAAGTCATCAACTACTATTGGTTAAGTAATCTTCGAATAAGCCAACAAAGTGTGCCTTCCACTACATCTACCGAACACTAATCTAATCAAGAATAATCCCTTAGATAAGTGATCAATTATTCCTTTGTTTCTACAAGATATAATTGTGAACTTAGTCATGAATTTATGAATCAACCTATCAGTTCAATATTATGTTTCTCAATTAACGATTTATGATTACCAAAATCAGACTACTAATCAAACACATCAATTCAGTCCGGGCAATGCCTAACATATGAATGTCAACATCAAATCACTGAGGGACCGTTGATATTGCTTTTCCCATTAAGGCAAAATGGAAAAAATAAACGTTGACTACATAGTTTTTGTATAATCATCTAATCA